GAATAGTACGAGTGGGGACTGGTGTATACTATCGTTTTAGCATCATTCTTGAATAAGAATACAGGACATTGGGTGGAATTCTGATTCGTTTTCTGAGCTTGGAAGTGAAATCTTCTTTCATATTTTGGAAGGAAGAGATTCATTTATGTGAAAGCTAATCTTTGTTTGTTCAAATTCAGTTTGCATAATGGGCTGCATCTGTTCCAAGGTTTTAGCGGATGAGTGTAGCAATCATGATAGCTCTAAAAATGCCTTTTCCTCCACAAAACGCCTCTCTGAGCTGAAAAAACCAAGAGTTGGTTCTCCAAAAATTGAGAAGATTTGGGAAAAGGAGAGACTGGAATGCGGAGATGTTACTGTTATGTTGTTCGATAAGAAGGCCAATGGTTCTCTGCGTTCATATGGCGAGCCTCCTAATGAGAGGAAGAAGGCGGAGATCCCTGATGTCACCATTTTCGACCATCCATGTATGGGAAGGATTCCGAAGGTTACCGAAGCCGAGCAGGTGGCTGCTGGGTGGCCGAGTTGGCTAGCTGTGGTTGCTGGTGAAGCTATCAAAGGCTGGTTGCCGAAACATGCGAGTAACTTCATCAAGTTAGAAAAAGTAGGCTCTCTCTTTGAGACTTTAAGTCATGTGCTCACAAATCTCCAGTTGATTAAGTTATTGGCCCGTCGATTTTCTTGTTTCTCATTTCTCATTCTTGCAGATTGGCCAAGGAACTTACAGCAGTGTATATAAAGCTCGTGATGTCATTCAAGATAAACTTGTGGCCTTGAAAAGAGTCAGGTTCGACAATCAAGATACCGAGAGCATCAAGTTTATGGCAAGGGAAATCCTTGTTTTGCGAAAGCTCGATCATCCAAATATTGTTAAGTTGGAAGGTTTGATCACATCACAAACATCATGTACCATGTACCTTGTGTTTGAATATATGGAACATGATCTTACAGGACTTGCATCACGGCCTGGCACATCGTTCACCGAACCACAGGTAGCATATTCAGCTCAAACAGAAGCGATCCATCCATGACTACCTTATATATTATATAATCATTTTGATCATAAGTTTTAAGCCTTTTCCCCCCTATTTCAGATGAAGTGTTACATGAGGCAACTTTTGAGTGGACTTGATCACTGTCACAGCCATGGGGTTCTGCATCGAGACATAAAGGGCTCAAATCTTCTTATTGACAACAATGGCATTTTGAAGATAGCAGATTTTGGGTTGGCAGTCTTTTTTGATTCACAGTCAAAAGTTCCAATGACGAGCCGTGTAATCACTCTCTGGTATCGACCACCGGAACTTTTACTTGCAGCATCTCAATATGGTGCTGAAGTTGATTTATGGAGTGCTGGTTGCATTTTAGGAGAGTTATATGGGGGCAACCCTATCTTGCCAGGAAAAACAGAGGTGCAATATAGCTTTAACTTTGACTGAGATCATCTTTCTGTTTTCAAATACGAACTGTTTAGATAGATCAACAGTGGCTTTCAATGTTTTTATTTGTCAAAATAATGAAGGTTGACACGTCCACGTTTCAGGTTGAACAACTGCATAAGATATTTAAGCTCTGTGGTTCCCCGTCAAAGGAATGCTGGAGCAAATTGAATTTGAAGCATTCAACAGGCATGAAGCCACCGCAGTCATATGAAAGATGTCTTAGGGAGAGATTTAACGATTTTCCCCGTGCTGCAGTCGAGCTTATGGACACTTTGCTGTCTATAGATCCTGCAGGGCGAGGAACCGCAGCTTCTGCACTCAACAGTGAGGTACGCCATTCTTCCTCTTCTGCAAAAGCCCAGTAACCAACAATATTCAATTCAGTTGGAATTGGAAAGTAGAGGTATTCATCTTCTCACAAAATGGTCTTCTTCTAACAGTTCTTTACCACAAGGCCCTTACCCTGCGACCCTTCAAGTTTGCCAAAATACCCTCCCAGCAAGGAGATCGATTCAAAAATGCGCGAAGATGAAGCAAGAAGGTACAAAAAAAATATAGGATCGCTTAAAGAGGAAATTGGTAATTGACTTTACTATTTGCAGTCTCTTACTTCTATCTTTTACACAGGCAAGGAGGAGCAGGTGGTGGGAGAAGCCGGACAATTGATCCTGAAGGAAAAGGACTGAAGCAATCTCGGGTAGTTCCTGCAGCAAAGCCTAATGCCGAGTTGGTTATATCACTACTGGTAACTTCCAAACAAAGTTTGTAATTTTGGTTGCATTTTTGCTTCAGAAGATATTATATTGTCTCTCCATCTTCTTTACCCTATTTGATTTTGGATTATAGAGAAAACGAAATCATTCAAGCTTAAAGTACCGGAGCGAAACTTGTTCCTACGGTCTTGTGTCGAAGAGAGCCTCAAATTCAGGACCTATAACTCAGGGACCAAGATTAGCAAACTCCGAAAAGAACCTGAAATATACTTCCACCATTTCAAGCGGCTGTCTAACATCATCTGGGCCCATTGAATTCGTTTCTTACAAACATCTCCGAGAAAGAAATGGAGTTTCAAGGGCAGAATCAATAAGACAAGACAGAAATCGTCCTTTATCCAACGCTGCAGAAGAGTACATCAAAAAGCTGAACAGAGACCACCCTGATTTGAATAGAAGTCACAATCCTTGTCAGCTGGAAGATTCAAAAGCCTCAGCTCTGATTGTTGGCTAAATTCCTTCCTTCTCGACGCGGTCTCACTTGAAGGCTCTGTGTTAATTAGATAAGAACTAATAAGAATCATTTGTTCATCGGCATCGGCATCGTCATCGTCTATGGTCAGGAAGCAAATCAAATTTATGTCTGATGATGGTCATTCCTTGTTTCATCAGGCAATGTAGATAGGATGCTCAAAGAACATGATCATTGGATTCATCTTCGCGAAATTTTTAGGTGTTGGCTTCCTATGAGAAAAAAGGAAAGAAGGAAACAGGAGGCCGCAACCAATTTTGTTCATTGAGCTATTATGTAAATAACATGTCAATCTCGGCTGTGTATACTTGGAAAAGAAAAGAAGCTGCCTTTTGTATATAAACTCAGCAGAAGAGCAAATGGATTTTTTTTTCAAAACCATTTCGAAGAATTTAGTATTTACATCTTCTGGGAATGATATATCTGTTTTGTGTGTGTGTGTTTTTTTTTGGAATATCCTGGAAATGAGTATTACGTATGAATATGATAGGAAAGAAATAGAGAACTATGTATATGGTTTCCATTGAAAAAATGGAAAATAAAATRMGGTGAGCGTGGATCGAACACACGACCTTCAGATCTTCAGTCTGACGCTCTCCCAACTGAGCTATCCCCGCATGATGTGAACACATGTAGTAGTTAATAAGTTGTCTAATAAATTACATTATACTGCTTGATCCTAATATAATTTATTGTCTCTGACTTTAGACAGCGAGAATCAGGGAAAACCTTTATATTATTTTATTGGCAAAAGGCTTTTGTAAACTATCATTAAACTCATATAAAATAAAAATAAAAAAGGGAAAAATTATCATTTAAAAAAGTATTTTCAGTAAAAAATAAAAAATAAAAACCCACTTAAAGATATATTTTCCTTTTCTTTTCTTTTCCTTTCCTTTCCTTTCCTTTTTAAAAATAAAGATAATCAACGTGTAAATATTAATGTCTGGTAATTTCTTTATATTAAGTCTTTTGAAATGATTCTAAATAATTGTAGTTTACTTGAAAAATGTATGCAATAATAGTTTTGATTACAGTATAATTAATATAAAAAGAAAAATGATGTATATATTTTACTTTGCAGGTAAACAATAAGTTGAAAAATCAGCAAGCAATAGAGAAATTAAAGACTTTTGCTATTCATCGGTCTACCTACCTTACCTTACGTTTTTGGACTTGGAAATAAAATTTTAGAAAAAATAAAAATCAAATATAATGATGTTGAAAAAAAAAAAAACAAATAAAGTTATTGATTAAAACGAAAGCGATGGATGCAAGTATTAGTCAAAAGTAAACCGACTTCAATTTCTGATTGAATTTTAATAATATGAATTAATAATTACGGGGATGTTTAAGTATGAATTAATTTTCATTTTCTATTAAAACTATGTTATTTTGGTAATAATTTTATTTATTTTCTATAAGGAGAAGATTTTTCTTTCAATCTTATCCCAATTTTAAAATTGTTTTGCTTTTAGAGAGAAAAAAACTAAAAATAAAACATATTTTTTTATCCTTGTAGTTAGTTTGATTAGCCTTTTTTTTATGTTTAAAAAATAAAAGTTTGATTAGCCCATTGCATTAAATAAATACGAATAAGTAAAAAAGTTAATACCTTCTAAAGATTAGATTAAAAAAAAATTCATGCATTAAAACACTTTAGCAACAAAATCCTTAAACCTGCCAAAACTAGCATAGTTCAGTGATAATTGACATATACCTCCCACTAAGAGGAAAAAATCTAACATAAGTGGAAGAACACTCATACAATTAATGTTGTCTCATCATTTTGATTTTACGCATTATTTAAATTTAAGATTCAACTTAATGAAATTGAAGTTTTGTCAAAATTGATTTATTGAACTAAATACTTAAATAAAAAAAATTTAAAAATGTATTATGAAGTTATTAATACGAGCAAAGTAGTTAGTATATACTCTTTTTGTAGTCAAATTAAAGTATGAACTTCACAATTGAGGAATTTCAAAAAAGAAAAAGAGAAAAAAAGAAAGAAAACCTTCACAATTAAAGAGGTATCTCTCCCAAGGAACCATAATACAAAAACTTTACAAGTTAAAAAGATAAAGCAAACGCTCACAACAAAACCCACTAATTTTGTTTACAAAGATTATAGACAAAAGTTTGTGAATATGCTCTTTTCTTTCAAGATATAATACCTCTAAAAGAAGTCCCCAAAGAAAGAAAGGAAAAAAAAAAAACAAACTTGGAATAGAAGCTGCTTAAAATTAAGGAAAAGAAAGTGGATTTTAGTGGAAGTACTCAATTGGTTTATGGAAAAACAAAAAAGCAGCAACAAACAATAAGAAAATCAAAAGTTCAACTTTTATTTATTTAACAATTTCTTTGACTGTTGCCTTTGAAAAATATGGCCTTAAACGGTGTTTTTTTGAATAAAGATGTAGAATAATAATTCATGCTCTCTTTTTTCTTATTTATTTTTTCAGGAATCCATGTCGTATGGCTTACGTCGCAGATCTTCATTGCCACTGTGTCATCTCTTAGAAGACCTATTCTATTTTTCCTATTGTTCTTATCTCTTTGAATTTTAGTCTTAAATTTTGGTACTCTATTCTTCGTATATTGTACCTACCTTTCAAAATTGAGAAATAATCCAACTTCAAAAATGTTAGTTTGAAGTTAATTTAAATATGATTGTGTATCTTTAGCATTTAGACCTTACAAAAACTTTAATTATACTTTAAAAATAAGACTAAGAGTTCATACGATCTCATTATTAATACTGTTGACTTTAAAAGGCAGATCTTGTACTAAAAAAAACTTAAAAAAGATCGTTTATTTATCGTATGTATATAATATTTTTATGCATATTTATTTGAATTTCATTAATCATACGAAGTTGTTGGGTTATAAATAGAATTTGTAAATGACAATGTATCATAGAAATGAGAAACTTGGAAGTTGGAACAACTCATATTTTAACTGGAAGAGATATTGATAAAGAAAAAACAGTTCAATTCTTCAAAACGAAGCCTTACTTTATTTGAATCGTTGGGTTTTACTTCTTGCCATTTCACTTTCGTTGACCTTTTATCCTTGAAGACTAAAAAACCCACGTAATTAACCCTTTTAAATTTACTAATTTAGCATTCAAACGCGAACCAAATCCTTAATAACTCGTTCTAGTCGTCGTTATGGAGTGGGTATTTTTGACTCGGGGAACAGCCGGCATAGGCCGTCTGAATATGATAATCTTTTAAAGTACAGCAAAATAAGATTGATTGTATTGGTATGAATACGCGTTGGGAATTCAAAAGGCGAGCCCAATGTTGTTTCTTGGTAACTAAGCCTCTCTCTATCATTCCCCATAACTTGATTGTGTTCTGTCTGGGTATTTCCAAGATGTATTGATCGATCGATCGACAGTCGTGTTGTTTCCTCTGATTGACTGTGAAAGATTCGTCTGATTGGTGAAAAGGGTTTCCGGATTTTGTTTGGCAAATAAATAAAAAGAAGTCGCTGTTGTTGTTCCATTTTTTTCCCTTTCAAGTTTCAAGTTTGATTTATTCTATGGTTTTTCGTGTTGGGTCAGTTCGGATTCTGGAGGATGGAACTTTAAAAAGGAGAAAAAAAAAAAACGCTCGAGTTCTTTTTGGGACTTCAACCCTTTCGTGGTTCGAAATTGCGTGTTTGAAAGTCTGGTTTGACATTCGATTTTTAGGGTCTTCTCTGAATTGGGTATATGGAGAGCTTTGAAAATATTCTAAATTCTGATTTCATTTGATCAAATTTTCATTCGTTATTTATGGGCTTAGCGAGGAAGGAGGTTTGTGGAATATCAGGAGTTGGCTTTAGGAGGAGATTGTAATATTTCTGAAGAAAGTTAAAGTTTGGTAATTAGTTTCTGGGCTCTGCAAAAATGGGTTGCCAATGTTCCAAGCCTTCGGTTGATGAAGATGCCCGGGGCAGACCCACTGAGAAGTTGTCTTCACAAAAGGCTTCACGAGTAAATTTATCAAGAAAAGAGGAGGATGTGCGATTGAATTCTCTGAAAAGAGAGGAAGTTGTTCGAATAAATTCCTCACAGAGAGCAGATAGTATTCGATCAAAGGTGAAAACGGATGGAGGTGACATGAAAGTTGCTTTTTTGGACAAGAAAGTCAACGGCTCAAATAGGGTACACGACGATCAAATTGAAAAAAAGAAGAGGGAGAGGCTGGAAGCAGCCATTTCTGCTAATTATCCTGGAAAAGGAAGCATCCCAAAAGCTGTGGTAGCAGAGCAAGTTGCAGCTGGTTGGCCAAGCTGGCTCTCCTCTGTCGCAGGTGAAGCGCTGGAGGGATGGCTGCCACGAAAAGCCGAAACTTTCGAGAAATTAGACAAGGTATGTGAGAGTTGTTAATTTGAGAGTTGAAAGTAGTTTGTTGCTTTGATTTCGAGTGTGGAGATCAAAATGTTTTTTTTGTCTGAGTTTCCTGTTGTTTGTTTGGTGGTGTTTCATTCTCACAGATAGGACAGGGGACGTATAGTAGTGTTTACAAGGCTCGCGATATCGTTCATGGTAAACTAGTCGCTCTAAAACGAGTTCGATTCGATAATCTCGATGTGGAGAGCGTCAAGTTTATGGCCCGGGAAATCCTTATCCTTCGTAGGCTTGATCATCCAAATGTAATAAAATTGGAAGGCTTGATTACGTCGCCACGGTCATGTAGCTTATACCTTGTTTTTGAGTATATGGAGCATGATCTTACTGGTCTTGCATCTCGTCCCGGCGTCAAGTTCAGCGAACCACAGGTAAACCATATAAACTGGTTTCCTGGATATGGTATGCAATTTTGATAGAATTCATTTCTAATGAATGACATCTATTCAACTCCCAAAACTTCTCTAACTTTGTTCTTATGTCCATGCTAGGTTAAATGCTATATGCAACAACTTCTAAGGGGACTCGATTACTGTCACAGTCATGGTGTCCTCCACCGTGATATTAAGGGTTCAAATCTCTTAATCGATGACAATGGTGCCTTGAAGATTGCAGATTTTGGATTAGCTAGTCCTTTTGACCCCCATAATCGTGTTGCCTTAACAAGCCGTGTAGTGACTCTATGGTACCGACCGCCCGAACTTCTGCTTGGAGCTTCCCATTATGGGGTTGCCGTGGACCTTTGGAGTACTGGTTGCGTACTGGCTGAACTATATGCTGGGAAGCCTATCTTACCTGGAAAAACTGAGGTAGCACATTTTTAGATGTATAGTCAACTGAAGACAAAATATTCCATATAAACAGATTTGTCTTGTTATTCATGATCTAGCTAAGATTATAGTACTGGTGATAAAAGGAACAAGTTGTTAAAAAGGAGATTTTGACCCCTCACAATTTTTTAGTTTTTATTAGTCTTTAAATGTACTGAAGAAAGCATCAAAACTATTTCCCATAGGTCGAACAATTGCATAAGATATTTAAACTTTGTGGGTCGCCACCTGAGGATTACTGGAGGAGATTGCAGTTACCTCATTCAACTGCGTTCAAGACGGCTCAGCCATACCGACGTTGTATCGGAGAAATGCTCAAGGATTTCCCATCTGCTGCGGTGGCTCTTGTGGATAAATTGCTTTCTGTAGATCCTGCTCACAGAGGAACTGCAGCCGCTGCTCTAAAGAGTGAGGTATCATTTGAAAATTAATCTCTGATGCTTGGTTTCTCATAATAGTAATAATATTAACAAACGATTTTTTCTTAATTTTCAGTTTTTTACGACTAAACCTCTCGCTTGCGAGCCTTCGGGTATGCCCAAATATCCTCCCAGCAAAGAGATCGATGCAAAATTCCACGGCTGCAGAAGGTAAGTTGTTAGAATCATCAATTCTTCTGAGGGTGGAGATATATGAAGAACATAGTTATATGCTTATTGAGTTATTGTAAAGGAAAAGCCTAAGTATTTAGGTCTGATAAGTTCATTTTAAGGGCTTGCTCCTTGGTATAGAACTTGTTAGTCTGAGATTATCTTCCACTGCAGGCAGTCAAGAGCTGAGGGCAAAGACCCTAAAGACTACATGGAAGGAAGGCGACCTAAAGAAGCTCACCTTAACCTTGCTCTGAATGCTAAGGATGAAGCAAGCATGTTGATGCAGGTATCCTAAACGCGCATCCATTAAAACGTTTTTTGGTTTAATGGTCCTTCTCGAATGATTTTTGGACTAATTTAGTTATGCATCTGAGTACAGAAAAGGAAAGGCCATTCAAGTTTGAAGGGTCGAAGCAAAGCGTTGAATTCTCATGGGGACGAGACAGTTTCTGGTTTTCTGATTGCCCCACCCAAACAAAACCAATCTGTGACAGAAATTGGCAAAGATACATGCAGGTTTTCACATTCAGGACCGCTTATTAGCAAACCAGATTGGATGAAATCTGGGAAGCATTTCGATGACCATTCAATGGCACTTGATGGATCTAATCTCTCGGTCTTATCCCGTTTAGTAGCAACAAGGTCTACTATCACATCTGATCTTCCCTACGATAGACCTGGTCCGTCGCGATCAGAAGTAGGCAGATTGCCTGACTTTGTTAGGGAGTCGGAGCCAACGAGAAAGCAGGACTGTATATTTTATACACACCGAGTGGCAGATTCATACCAAATAGAGTATGAAAAGTCTTGTGCTAAAGAACAGACTCTGGTTCGTTCCTTCTTTCCTCTTGCTAAGCTTAAATGAATCAGAATTCAAATCTTAATGTATCTTGAGCTGTTTCTTTATCTATGTATGAATGATGTTCTTTTGACTGACTGGGATACTGATCTTTATTCGTTACGTGGTTCAGTTTGCTCATGGGACAGACATGAACAAGCTTTACACTTCCGGTCCAATCCTTGGTCCATCAAACAACTTAGACAAGCTGCTGAAAGAGCGAGACCGTCAGATTCAAGAATACGCTCGACAATCACGACACGGGAAAGTTGCTAACAGTCAGTTGAAGAGCGCAAGAGCAACAACCGGAAAACATTCGATGTCGATTCATGGAATGTGATGTGGATAACCGAGATCGCTTGCACCCGCAACAGAAGAGACAGTTGGAGAGACCAAAGGTCTGAGATTGGCTTGAGTTGTGTAATCAAAAAGGGATTTGGTTGTGTAGAATTTTGGTTAAATGGTTGTATAAAAGGTGGTTGTGAAGCACTGCACTACTAGAATTTTTGAGTGCACCCGATACTGCCGTGGTGTTTGGCATTTGTTATCAGATTCAGATAATGTGTATAGAATTAGCAACCATAGATTTGTTAGATTCTTTTTCTATAGTTTGAAAATTAATCTTTTTGTGACAAAAGTAGAATTAAAACGAAGAGATCTGAATCTTTAATGAAAATCTATTCTATTTCACTGTACTTTCCTTGTAGACAAGTTTATTAATATTCAACGTCAAGATGACAAAATTCTTTAAGGTTGAAGGGTCAAGTATCGATTGAAACTGATAGAGATGTTGTGGTGTGGAGGGAGTTTTAGGATTGGTTAGATAATAACATCAAAATTTTTTGCAGAATCCTCGATGTGAGAATTTTAAACTCGGATTTTAAGAGGAGTAGATGTCTAGTTAAGTCATGTTCATGTTGACAAATTCTAGGTATAAAAGGGTCGAGAGAAAAGTTTTCTATCTCATATGTTTTTCTTAGGATGGGGATCCTCGATCAAAATATTTTAATTATTAATATACATTTGTTTGAGTTTTGTATAATTACATGTCTAGATTGGTAAGGTCACTCAAGATTATCTATGGATATTCATAGTACAATTAAGTGGGATGAGCACATTAGATGTAATGGGATAAATTTCACTTTCTAAACTTCAATTCAAGTATCTCAAGGCCGACCTAAACATAGTTTAACGAGTTTTGATACTAATTACCTTTCGCCAATGAGTGACAAAATTGGTTGGTGTATTTGAAATATTTTTTTAGCTTATACTAGATTTACTCTTTAACTTGGGTCAGATTGCTATCTATGCAATTGTACTTAAAAAAAACCAAGTCTAGTCTAGTACTAAAAAAATTCAAAATAAATATGAAAGGATGAATATTGATTTATCAAATGGATCCGAAAAAATGAGAATATTTTCAGTAAAAAAGTTGGAGGTTCAAATTCGACCTACAAATAGTGGTCGATCTAAAATGGAGTAAAGAAAAACAAACATTCTGAAGTTGGGATCGGAAGTAATAAATTTTGAAATTATTTCCAAATATTAACTTTATAAAATATCTAATAAAAAATTTTGTTTCGTCAAGATCAAAGTAGGCCCCAACCCCATATAACAAATTGCCACTCCTCGTTATATAGTTATCATAATTAAATACCGATTATTACTGTTCGTATTGTTTCACATAGCCATTTAATTTTTTTTTCTCTTTTTTGGTTGATAAATAATGGCCATTTAAATTATTATTTTATTATATAAGTCCCGTATTATTTCTGTATTCTGGGTGTTTTAGTCTATTCGCCACTGGAAACTGGCATAATCTCGAATATTGGACACTATCAAAAGGATATTTATTTTATACAAGAGGCAGAGAGGAGACCGGACCCCCACCAAAACCGGGCAACGGGTCGGATCCTCCATCTCTATCTTCCAGCTGGCGATATTAAAATAAAATATAGTTAATTTATTTATAAACAATCTCGATAATTCTCGACTCAGCTTCAACAAACACGCGCCGCGTGAGCTCACGCACTCTCGTTGGCAATAGAATGGGTCCCACGTGGAGGGGGGCCCACTTCGACTATAAATTTCCCCTTCATTTCCGCGACGTGTTCGACGAGAGACCAGAGCGTGAAATCGAGAAATCAAGCGAAGCGAGTCGTCGGGATCGGTACTCCGGCGGAAGTTTTGAAATGTCCGACATATCGGCGAGCTTCCTCGACATGTTTCCAGAAGATTCCAGAAACCCGCCGGAAAGTTCATACGATTCCAGTGAAGAAAAAGAAGAAGAGGATCATGACGGAGAAGTTTCTCCCACTGTTAAAGAAAACAGGGCCTTCTGGAAGTCCCAAAATGAGCTTCTTCAGGTAATAAGAGTAATTTCGTTACATAATTAGCCAACAGAAGTTGAATCCAGAACTCCCGATTGTATTTGTATTCTGATTTTTTTTTCTCAGTCGATTTTGAAAAGGACCAGTTCGATTGAGTTAGAAATCCGGCAAGCAACGAAGAATGCCCTAAGGGAAATAAATTTCGACTCAATCCGATGCGATTGCCGGAGAGCGGCGGAGGTAGCAGTCTGTCGGGAGTGCGTACAGAGAGAAATCTGCAGTCAGCTGAGAAACGCCGGCTACAATTGCGCCGTCTGTAAGTCCAAATGGAAGAGCTCGCCGGAAATTCCATCAGGTATACGCATATATCCTACCACTCGCTGTGATTCTCATCGTTATTTTTTTAGGGTTTATAGAATTGGGTATTTTTACGCAGGGGAGCACACTTATTTGGAAGTGGTGGAGGATTCGAATTTCAGAGTCAGAGTCATAATCGAGCTGAATTTCAGAGCGGAGTTCGAAATAGCCAGAGGCAGTGAAGAATACAAGCGATTAGTGAGACGGTTGCCGGAGGCGTTCATCGGAAAAGAAGAGAGGCTTCGGAAATTAACGAAAATTATGTGCGACGCGGCGGAGAAGTGTATGAAGGAAAAGAAGATGCACTTGGGGCCGTGGAGGAAGTACAGATACGTGCAAGCCAAGTGGTTAGGGAAATGCGAGAGGTCGACTCCGGCGCCACTTCCGGTGGGTTTTTCCGACCGGCCGGCCAAGGCGAAGGCCTCCAATTCTATGCTTACTTATGATTTGCGGCAGAGCTTGCCGCCGGCAATGCGCTGCTCTGCCTCTGCGGTTGAAGTGGTGTGAAAAATGAGAGTCGGAGATCAACTACCAATTTTGATCCTTTGTATTTTTGCTGAACTTATATCTCGTCGGGAACACAGAGGAAATCCAATAAAAATAGAATAATATAAGTGGTTATCTTATCATTAATATCATATTAAAAATTTGAGAACTATCAGAGAAAACAGATTTTTTTTCTTTTTAGAAAAATAAATAACCATAAAATTTTTGTTAAAAAGACATTTAAGCACTAAACCAATTCAAATTTGAACTGAATCTAAATTTTAACCAACCCATAATTTTGCACATATTGCGTTTTAGTTTATATACACGTGCCTTAGTTGATAGTCCGTTAAATCTTAACCTAATTATTAATAGTTTTTTCCCTTTTGAAAAAACCTCGTTAGTAAGTTGTAACCAATTTTAAAGTATAGAAACTATTATTTTTGAAAATTTTTTAGATATGTTTTAACAAAGTATGATTAGGTTTAGTTTTGTATTTAGGTAGATAGGCTAATGTCTACATATATGTTGTACTTTTTAGGCTAAGATGTAAGTGTTATTAAGATAAAAAGCATAGTGGGTAAAAATGTGTAATTATAGAAAGATAAATATTTTTAAGAAAGAAGAAAAGAAGTGAGTAGAGGAGAGAGAGCGAGAAAAATAAGAGATGTAGAGAAAATGAAAACAAAAATTCTTAAATATTAGAACAATAAAACAAAAGATTAAAAAATTTGGAAAAAGAAATGAAATTTTATCGTCCTCTTATATTAAAACGTTGAAAAATGGGGCGAAAAAAAAAAGGTTGAGTCTCCCTTGGAAGATTGAAGGGCCAGGTTGATCCAAGGTTGGAAATATCAATATTCACCTAAGTATCAAGGTTTTGATTTTATGAAAATACCGATGAAAATGTCGATATCAATAGAAATTTTAAGAAAAATCATAAAAGTTATGAAAATAGGTAGAATTAGTAAATGAGACTTTAATACTAACTTTTTGTGGTAGGACAAATTTGGGGTATATGATTTAAATCTTACCTCATAAAATAGAGTATATGTCAATTATTGTTGAGCAAATGTCAATTATTGTTGACCAAACTTGACAATTTTAATAATAACTTAATTAGACTATAATAGATCATTTTTAACCATCAAATCTAAAAATATAATATAAGTTTATACTTGTGAAAATATCATCATCTATAGAATTGATATAGATTATTTTAATTAGTAAATTAAAGTTTTAATTATATCTTGCTAATCATTTCTAAGCACCATTATGTAAAAGATATAAACTCTAGTCTCCAATCGATTACTTTTCATGTAAGCATTTTGAACCACAAAATTGAAGAAATAATTAAAAACTTATTTGTTTATCTAGTTAATAAGTTAAAATTTATATCTAAAAATAGAAGTAACATTTTTAAGGAATTGTTGAGGAAAATTTTTGAAAAAATACAAAAAATATATAGGGATTATTGTCATTATATCTACAAATAGAAGTAACATTTTTAAGGAATTGTTGAGTAAAATTTTAGAAAAAATACAAAAAAAAAGGATTAGTATATATAGATGGTCTATTTAGAAATCATAATTATATAAAAGGATGGAAAAGTATAGAATTTACGCTTTTGTCATCATACAATCTCGTACCCCATAACATAAATTACTAGTATATCCTTAAGATCCATCTCAATATTAAATATTGCTAATGATACTTCCCAAAATTAAAAAATCTCAAAACCACAAAAATTCATCCATTTTCGAAACGCATCCCTTTCTTCTTCCTCGTTTTTCTTTTCTTCCTCCAACCGTCGGTTTTCCTTCCTCCGACCCTCCGTTCCTCTTCTCCGACTGTCTACCTTCCTCTCCGGCCGACTCCGCTTTTCTTTGTCGCAAGAGCACTTCATCTCCGGCCGCCTTCGAAAAGAGATTTCCATCGGTTCTTATTCTCCGGGCATTTCTGCCTGCCTTCGTCCCCGGCCGACGTTTGCTTGCCTTCATCTCCGGCCGCCTCCATTTTTCTCAATTGCTAGAGTAGTTCATCTCCAGATTGAAAGGTTTGCATTCCGACAGACGTTTTCAATTTCTGATTTGGTGTAAAATATCGTATATGTGAGGGTATATAGTATAGTGATTTAATTAGGATATATCTTATAACTCAACTTGTATATATGCGGATATATACTTTAATGATTTTGAATGTATATATGCGGATATATAAGTGGATATATCTTATAACTCAACTTGTATATATGCGGATATGCGGATATATACTATAGTGATTTTGAATGTATATATGCAGATATATAAGTGGATATATACTGTGATTTTGAATATATTTTTTGAATATGCGGATATATATTTATTGAGACTTCAAAAGATTTTTATGTGATTTTGAAACGTCTTTGAAGATTGACTAGTGAATTAAGGGAAAATCAATTTTTTTGAAGGGGTAAATTAAGGTTTTAAAGGAGTGAATTAAGACATTTGTGTTGAAAATTAGTACGAGACCCACAATAATTAAAGGATTATGATAATAATTTATGGAATTAAATCTTTTATATTTAAAAAAACCAAATAACTATAATAAATGTAAATGCAATAAATAAGGGTAAAATCTGAATTAAAATAAAATCCTACATGAAGAAATCTAAAAGTGTAAAATTAGAAAAATTTAGACATTTGTATAAATAAGTTTCTAGCCCTCCAAAATATTATCTAAAAAATATAGAACTTAATTAAATTGTTTGAACTGATAAAGGAGACTTTAGTTCTAATTTATTTAGAATATAATTTATCATTATTATAATATATATTTAAAGAAATATGAAATATTTGCTGCATAATTAGAAAAAATGAAATGTTCTTCATCTAGTAATCATGATAATGACATCCATATAGCTACATGGATAAATCTACTATCATCTTGAATTTTAGATGTTTCAATCTTTAACTCTTGTCATTGTTAGAACTCAACAGAAAAATTAGTCTTGAATTCAACTGAAATAAAATAAAACAATAATAAATTAATAATAAAAAGTAATATATATCACATTAATCTATAAATAATTTAATTCAAATAAATAGATAAATAAAATTATTAATTCAACTTTTGTTTGTCCCCACCGAAAATCGATTGAAGACTTACATTCCCACATCATTATAAAAGAAACTCTCCTCTCCACCCTTTAACAAACATTCATTCTACAGGTTTCCATTAATAAAATAAATCGTGGATCTAATATTTCTGTTCCGACTCATTAAAGTTGGTCATTAGTAAAACAAAAATATTTGTACAAACCAGAAAAGTAAATTCACTCAAAGATTAAAATATTTGGAATATTGTGAACCTTTCATGACCATCACAGCAGAGTCGATTTCTCCTTCCTTGAGATGTCGAGCCCCTTGACACGTACAAGGGGTAATTTCAAAAACTAAAGTAATTTTTAAAAAGAATTAGAAAAATTGGGTAGTTTCATAAAAAAAAAAGATATATAATAATAATAATAACGTTTTTTATGCAGCGGGTCTCATCACGAAATTTTAGTTCAAATTTTGGAGAAAAAATAGAATAGAAATTTCCACCAAGTTTCGAACAAGAGAATCCGTGGCAAGATGAAGAAAAAATGTGACCCAAGCTGGGAACAGCGCCGTGGCGACGTGAGACTTATTTAAATATCATTTCTTTTCGTTTCAGATTTTGGCGAGAAGCATACTTTTTTTGTGCGATTTTTGTGAAATATCAAATAAAAATTAGTGGCTGATCCGGCCCTTTTGTGGGATTTTATTTAAACGTTCGATAAATATACCCAACAGACCCATGTTAACTGGTTAAAGCTTGGATGTATGACCAAAAAGTCTCGTGTTCGAACCTTTTACTTCGCATGTTCCACAATAAGAGAAATATAGGAAAAAGTACAGAGAATTTATACTGGTTCACCCCAACGAATTCTATATGATTTTGGGATGATTACAATTGATCTCACAAATGCTATATAAAGCTAGAATGAAAATATTTAAAATAATAATAATAATAATAAAAAGATTAAAATTAAACCGGACCAATTTAAGTATTGTGTTTAATAAGTCTCTGAACTTAAAAAAAAATATAATAAATTCTCAAACTATCGATTTTGGGTCTAAATCTATAATTTTTTTTTTAGAGTTTAACTATAGATATTTTCAAGAAATTGATCTGGTTTAAAGGGAAAAAAAAAAAGATTAACCGTACGGTAATCATAAATTTAATATGGTATATTAATTTTGACACGAAACTTCTAATTTCATCATTTTAAACTTTAAAAATGTTATAATTTTTACTCTGCAAAGAAAACTGCTCGCAAGTTGCACGTTGCATGAGAGAGAGAGAGTTTTCTGTCTTTGTGACTTGACTTTTTTTTTATTTTATTTTTGTGAAATGTTTTCGTGACTTTACTTGTTTGAACACACTCGAATCTCAAAAGTCATAAAGCCCTGCGGCTGTCTTATTCCATTTTCTTGAAAAAAAAAACAAGCTTGTATCCTGAGATTTTAAATACTTAAAAATAATTTTCTTAGATATATTTTGCAAAGGCAGTTCTTAGATATTTCTAAACCATATCAATCGTCAATTCTCAAAAGTAGATTTCTATTTCAATCAGATTTTAAAATATTCATACCTAATTTTGAAAATGCAGTAGAAGTCTGATGACACGTGTATATCATTTCAAAAGAAAATCATTATTCAATTAAAATCAGCAATTGAAATTCTCTCTTCGTTCCACCACCTCCTCCGACGTGGCTTTTTGCATGGTTCTTCTCCGTCAAATGTAGCCCTCGTAGCATCTTCCTTTTAANTAATTAACTTCTTTACATAGTATTACACAAATCTAACCCTTTAATTAAATACCATTAAATTATCATAATTTAAAAGGTTCAAATATAGATAAGAACCAAAAAAAAAAAAAATGTAATAATTAATGTCCTAACCTGTTTAGTTTCTATTAAAATTTTGATAGGTGTACTTTTAATTTTGTTTCAATCTCTCTACTTTAAATAACTATTTTTACACTTTTTACCTTGGTTACAATTTCTTCGAATTTGTATTTTATTTCATATCGGTAATAGTTTTTTTTCTCTATTTTATCATTTGTTTAGCAATTATAATAAAAATGTGTTAAAGTACTACTTTGATCAATCTATTTTAAGCTTTCGTTTATTTTGGTCCATGTACTTTAACCTTTTAGTTCATTTTCGTCCTCTATACCTTTAAAATGATCCTTTTTTATTCATATTTGTAAAAAATTTAACATCAATTATACACACAATAAAAACTATATTTAATATAAAGCTATAGTTATATTTTCAAGAAATACATTGACTTCGTGTTGAAGTCGCGTTGAAATTATGATAGAAAACTGAAATTAAAAATAAAATTAATGTACCAAAATAGTCATTTTTTAAAAATACAGGAACCAAAACGAACATTTTACAACTACATGAATTAGAGGTGGTGCTTAGCCCCTTGGATTTTGATTAAATATGTACTTACTCGATATTTTTTTTCCTTTTTTTTAAGTACATGTGTGTGAGATTGAACTTACAATGATTGGAGACATATACCTGTTTATGCAGAAATTTGGTCTCCTGAGATTTCGTCAAATTTGCACCAATCTTCTAAGTATGAAAGGGATCGACGGGATATGCAAAACAAAAAAGCACTAGGACTGGGGTGGCTTTTTGGCCACACGGACTGCGATGCTTAATTTAGTATCGGAAAAGTCGAGTGAGGAAAGTAAGGGGATTGGAGAGTAGGGGGTTTTAGCCTCCCTCTAGGTTTGAATTACTTCCCTATTTATAAGAGTTGAATCCTAATCTGTCTAGGGTTTAATCTAGTATCTTTAAGAGATCTGGACTTTTTGGCCCATGTACTTCATCGTGGATATAATGTCAAATCAAGGGTCAAGATTAGGTGGGGTTTCAGATTGGATTGTACGAGGATCGAGGAGAGTCGAGTTAGGGTTCAACACCTCGGCACTGAGGAGGCCTCAACGTCGACTACGGGTTGGTCCGAATTGGCTCGGACCGACGGTCTTCTGCAATTTCCTTTTGTCGCTTCGTCCATTCTGTATTTCTCTCTCCATAACGATACCAATTAATTATTTTTTAACTAATACTCGGGGAAATTTAAAATTTTGACCCCTCCCATAATTCACTTTGGATTTATGACCCCATTTTGAAAAAAAAAAACTAATCTATGACCCCATTCTTCCTTATTTATTAATAATTTCATAATTTTTAAATGTGAAATTACCGTAGTACCCTCCTCATGTTTCAAAATCAACATCTCCCCCAAATCTCTTTACAAATCTTTATTCCCTCCAAAAATATCTCACAATAATTAATTACAACCCAAAAAAATCTAACTTTTAAAAAAAATGTCTAACTCAAATAGTAAATTAAAACTTTAATATGGAAAAAATAAAAACGTACATAATTACATAATTTGTTCGAATTTAATTACAAAAAAGTCAAGATTACAAAAATGGGACAATATTGCATTAAATGCTCGAGATTTAATGGAATTTTGGCACGACATTTATGAAACCTTAATTTTTTTTTTGTAATTAATTCCGGACAAATCTTATGCATTTAATCTTGGATCATGCAAATCTTTTTTTCACCCTAATTTAATTAATAGATAATTTAATCTACAAATTTTTTTGTGTGGATTCGTTTGTTAAGTAATAAATTAATCTATATTAGATTCAAAATTTTAAAAAAAATGCTAAGGGTTGAGAGAAGAAATTGATGGATAATTTTAGTTAAAATAAACAAGAATATTTTGGTAATTTTACAAAGACAAAAAGTGGAAATGGGTCACAAATTAAAAGGAATCACAAATTAGATTTTTTTAAAAAGGATCAAAAATCCAGATGAGTTATATGATGGGATTAGAAACCCCGATTTCACTAATACTCGCCACTAACTGATTGGACTGAGACATCACCTACGAAAAATTTAATGTCCAGTACGGACATGCATCCTACTGGTAATAATTAATGTGACGTGTTCAGTGCGTCTAAAACTAACGCCACCCGGTTTGTTTTATATTTATTAATTAAACATGTGAGTGTGTGACCTTTACGTGGGAACACCAATTTTTTTGGGGCGGCCGTTGGTTTTAATTGTCGTCGGAGCCGGCCGGGCCGACGGCGGCCACGTGTTTTTCCTGCCTTTCCTTTTTCCACCTTGACGGCCGGTTTAATTTTACGTCGAACCAAATTCAGATCCGGCGCCGTTTCCTTTATATATATTACCACTACGCTATAGCATGTTACAGCAAAAAAGTGACGCTATACCAATACAGTACTTTGTCGCCGCCTAAGTCACTGTCAACACGACTTTATTTTTTGTTCCACTAAAAAAGTCTCAAGAGAATGCAATGGAGATTACTCCTCCTTCATATCTTCAAATTATTAACACTTTAATTCATCAATTATAGTAAATAAAACAATTTAGTCCATGCCATAAAATATCTCATCAAGATTAATTTTTATTAGGTTGGTCCATCATCATTTTATCAATCTATGGAAATCTCATTAAAATTTAGTAACATTTTTTACGGTAATGATTAAAGGGTTACAAATTTTGAATTACAATGACTAAATCGTCACATATTAAAATATGTGAGTACAGAGTAAATTGTTACGTTGCTTGTAAAGACAAAAAGTATTTCTTTAACCTATTTAAAATCATTTCTATTTTTTCTTTTAACTTTGATTTTTAATCTTTTAAAATTATCAATTAGTAGAGTCTTTTTAGGTAGGAAAAACTTGTGAGAATTTGATAATAGAGATAGCATATGTATCACTAAAATCAATTCAACATGTGGGTACGCCTAGTTGCAAATACCACTTGAAAGAAATAAACTATGTCGAGAGATAAACAGAACCGACCTGTTGATATGAGAGATATTATTAACCTTTCATTTTTTTTAGTACAATACGTGAGAGTGAGGATTCGAATTCGTTATCTCTTCATCGTAGATAGATACCTTTGAGATTGATATTATTTGCCTTCAATATTTTTCAGAAACTACTTCTTTTAATTTGTTCACACTTGTCTTCTTTTTTAATTACCAATAATTCTTTAATGTGGCCATGTCATATTTCAATGTTTCCCATGTTTATTTAAACTCTTAAGTTCCAAATTTATTGCTGTAGCCTTGCAAAATATCTACAAACATGTGTATATATAACAACATCGAAACGCAAAGGTTGCAAGATCATCCTCGATTTTAGTTTTGTCTCGGTGGGATTGATTTGATCTGAATACTTCAATGGAGGGTAACCGAGAAATAAGGCAATGGCAAACCCAGCCGCCGCCGCCGCCGCCGCTGGCGGCGGGCACTAAGGTGGAGAGAAAAGTTATGGAGAAGAATCGAAGAAATCAGATGAAACTGCTCTACTCCAAACTCAAATCTCTCCTTCCAGACCAACCCTCCAATGTATGTTTGTACAATATTATCATCAGTTAAATATTTATCTTCTGATGTGGAATTATCAATTAATAACAATTTGGAATAATTTGTTGTGTTTTGAAATGTTTGGAGGTGGCAATGAACGTGTCTGACCAGGTAGAGGAAGCAATAAACTACATAAAATCATTGGAGACGAAGCTGAAGAGGCAGCAGGAGAAGAAAGAGTGGCTTCTGAGAAGCGGAAGATCGTCCAGCGACGACGTCGGCCGGAATTTGCCTGAACTGAAAATCAGAGAAATGGGTTCGGCGGTGGAGGTTGTTCTAACCAGTGGGTTGGGGGATTGGTTCATATTCTACCAGATTATTCACATCTTTCCTGAAGAGCGAGCTCAGATAATCAATGCCAGTTATTCTGTTCTTGGAACCACTGTCTTTTATACACTCCACGCTGAGGTACATTGTAAGATGACGTAATTAATTAGTTGAGTTACATTTAAGTCCGTTATGTTTTGTGATTGGTAGGTTTCGAGAACTTATTAATACTGTTCGAACAACAAAATCTTTCTGAAAACACATAAATGAAAGCTATTATTTTATGGGTTTTGGGTTTTCTATTATATATGAATTCAATTGTGTTTTTAGAGGAAGGCAAGAAAGGAAAATAGAAATCAAGCGTTTTTCTAAAAACAGAAACTATAAATCTTTGTGTTTATTTTTTTAATTATTTTTTAGTATAGGTCATTACCTATTTTCTTTTTTTTTTCTCTAAAAAAAGAAATTTATGGTCTGTTAGACAAAAAACTGAAAAATTCAGCCTCTTAGATATTTTTTTTAGTTCAAAAACCCATTAGTAGAAAGTTTATGAATTTAATTGGACACCAACTTAAGGGACTAAAATTATACTTTATTTCATTTTATAATTTTTTAGCTAAAAATAATATTTTAAAAAATTAGTATTTCTTTTTAATTTACAATTTGTTATAAGAAACAAGAAATGTCTATCATCTTTTTTCTAAAAAAAATTACAATTACCAAAAACTTTTTCTTTTTCATTTTTATTTTTTAAAAAGTAAGAAACAAGAAAATATGAACGTTATAAAAAAAAAAACCCTAATTTCTTATCTCTTCTAAATTTTCAAACACATGAGTAAAAACATTAATTTATCATTTTTTTACTTATATAAAATGTACCATTAATATTTAAAAATTCCAATGATATAACATAAAATTTTGTAATATTTTATTATAAAAAGTTAATTTCATACAGAACTTTTCTTCTTTTTTTCAATTTAACGTCTAAAAGCATATTTTTCCATTGGAATTAACAAGAAGCATAAAATGAAAAAGGAGAAAGAAAAAACCAACGAAAAATATCAAGAACCCTAACTTGTGAAATATTTATCCTTTTTCCTGTTTTTGTTGATGACGAGAAAATCTGAATGGTGGAGTAGATTGAGGACGTTGTGTACGAATTTGGAGCAAGAAAACTAACTGAAAGACTGAAAAAATTAGTTTACGGATCCACCAGTGATGCAGAAATTACGCAGCCATCAGCAGCAGCTTCCTACATTCACCCGCCGGGGGCGGCCGCGGCCTATACTCCGACTACTTACAATCCCCATTTTAGGAGCCACGAGATTTGAAACCACCCGACACAAATTTCTACCGTTCTTTCTTGAGATCGAACATCACAAGAGTTAGTTCGTGAGATGGAATATCGTCGAGAAATGATTGGTGGAGGCTAAAATAACCTGCATCGTTGATTGTTTTACGGCTTTTGAGAAACTTTTTTCTATATATGTATGATTGTGCAATTTTATGTTTTTTTATCGATGGATGGACGTTTTTACAAAAAAAAAAAAAAAAAAGGGAAAAGAAAAGAAGAAACTAGTTATCTTTATTATAGGGGAAAAAGTTGAAATCCCTTCGTGTTCACAATTGTGCGGGTTTTAAGCCAACTTGAATATATCAATTCAATTATTGAAGACCTCGATTAAATGATTCTTGTAGTGAGTGTTCCTCCTGGAACAAATATATACATGAGTTTAGACAAGACATTTTATTCATTCTCCAAAAGTTGAAGGTTCAATCGCCTCTTTTTCACATTTTATATCGAAACGTAGTCAGCCAAATATATATATGAAAGTTATTTCTTTTTAAACAAAAATATATGAAAGATTGATAACTCAATATCAATTTAATTATATTACGAAGAACAGAAATATAATTATATAACAAAATGAAATTTAAATAAATAAATCCATATTTAATTTAGTTAATTATAAGTTTGAGCATGATAAAATTCAAGCAAATAGTTTTAGTTGAATTAAACTTGACCCTAACTCACAAAGATGTTTAATTTAATTTATTGAACCCAATCTAAATAAGCTTAAAAACTCAACAACTCGTACAATTTTGGTTAGATTGATCTAGCTTTAAGTGATTAAATTTTTGGAACACCTCTATCTAATTTTTAATTGGTTTTTGGTTTATATATATAAAGGGATAAAATTATGATATACATAACATAAATAATAATTACCAAGTTCCTAGTCCAAATATATATACCAAAGGACACACGTTTCTATTTCCTCTCACAGAGTAAAGAACACGCTTTTTGTCCAACAAAACAACCTAAAGAACACACTTTTTGTCCAACAAAACAACGCCGAGGTTGTTGGTACGTCTTGTTTTTCTCACTAATATTTTCTTTTTTTCCCTCTGAAATAATACATATAAAATAGAAGAGAGCTGGAAAAAAATTTGTGTAAGAAATTAACAACTGCAATGCAACATTCAGGATATATGAAAAAATAAAATAAGCCAAAAGAGAGAGGAGAAAAAAATGCATCTCTTTTACAGAGACAGATTGAAACGCACACATCAGAGATATTAAAGGATGAACCATATGAATACATTCAGATTAACAAAAGTTGGAATAAAAAAATAAAAGACAAAAGACAGAGAAAATTTTCAAACGAATTCTTGAATTGGATACAAATTAAAATGGCAGACCCAAACCCAAACCACGAGAACAACCCATATCTAAAAATGAAAACTTTAATGTATTCAAACTCAAACTAGAGCGACAGCCCCACCAAAGAACTCAAAAGAACAGCACTGATAACACCGAAACTGAATACATTAGCCGCGCCTCCCAAAGCGGAATTCTTGGCCGGAGCCGGAACTGGCGCCGTGAATCCCCCGGCAGAGTCCGGCGAGTCTGCAGTCGGGGTCGGCGGAGCGCGGTGGTGGTGGTTATGCGTGAGAGCGAGGACCACAACAATGAGCTTTTGGCCCTTCTGGCAGCGATCGGCGTTGCCGGAGATGAAGTAAAAGGGGCCAGAGCGATCGAATTTGAAGATTGAATCTCCATCTTGGAACGAAACAATTGGGTTTTTTGTGTTGCAGGAGAAGTAATCGTCCTTGCTCACAACCAGCACCGAATCCGTCCCATTTTGGTACTTGAAATCTGCCCCCAGTACAAGATCAGAGTCATTATTATTATAATATTAAAAAACAAGCAGAACCCAGAAATAAAAATGAAAACTTGGTGAGATTTGATTTAGTGGGGTTACAGAGAGTATCGTTGACTTGAAATCTGTTACGCTCGGCCCAGTGGTTGAAGGGCTCGGAGGGGTTGAAGACCCAGCCGTCTTTGCCGCCGACGACGAATTTGTAAGCCTCAGAAAAGGTCGGCGCCGCCGTGAGGGCAAATAAAGCGGCCAGAGCCAGAAAAGCAGAGAAAGAGGGCATGATTAGAACAAAAAGGAGAGATTTAAGATGATTGATGATTGAGTTGGGGGAAAGGAAATTGTAATGGAAATATATATATAGATAGAGAGGGAGAATATTTGGAAAATGGATACAAAATATAATAGAGAGAAATGGAAGCGTTATGAAATTTGGAATGGAGGCGGTTTCGATATGGTAATTAATCTGTGGAGCTGGTAAAAGCTGGAGGGAGGATGGAGCCTTATTGTTGGACTTGTGAATGTGTTACACTTGACGCCATGCAGCTGACTCAACGGTAACTATTTGGAAAACGCCACCACACGCTTGCGTTCTTTGCGTGTCCTCTTCTTGCCTTTCTACCACCATTTCTCTCGTTCGTATTTACAATTAAAAGAGATCAATATAGGAAAAGAAGAAAAGAACCGTCAATTTTTAATAGGATTGGAGCTATACATACTTAGGTGTTTACTGATAGGTTGGTATCGAATACTTGACTCTTTATTAATCAGAAACAAAGTAATTTTTATCTCGACCCACTATTGAAAAATTGACAATTCATTATTTATTAAATATTCAATGATGGTCTAGACAAGATGGTTCTTAAAGCTAAGTATTTCTCATTGAGAAAATGACAATGACAACTAAGATAACGAAGCCATACAAAAGAAAGAGGAGAATAAATAGAATAAATAACTCTTAATTTTCTAACGGTGGTGAGTAAAAAGATATTTATTTATTTTTACAATAGAAAAATACTTACTTATCGGTAAATATTTGAACTTTATATTATACGCACCAATAAATTTTTATTAGTGATAGACACTCATCCTACAAAATTTGCATATTTAGCAAAATCTTATTTCTTGTGCTAAATTTGTAAATATGTAACAACTATTATTCTTTATAATTTTTCACAATTTATTTATAGAATGTCGTCCTTCCATGAAATCATGGTTTATTGACATATTTGAAAATATGAATATCACACTTAGATACTAATTGACTCATAAAATTAAACTAGTACATCAACAATATTTAACTCAATCACATGTCCTTAAGATTTATTTCTTTGGAGTACGTCTAATAAATACATATTAATAAAATAATAATTTTAACGACACATTCATTTAATACTATAAAATTTTAACGGAGTTTTTTTTAGTAAAAATATTTAAATTAGCCGCTACACTTATTTTTAAAAGGAATATTATTATATTAATTAAAGAGATTTGAGCTATATACTCCTCTCCCTTTTGAGAAAAGATTCGAGCTCATACGAAAGACCATAAAACGCGCAATTATTAAAATAAAATATGTACATTAAAATTTACGGATCAAAATAGGAAGTTTAAACCTTTTTGTTTTTTACTTTATTTTCAAACAAAAAAAAAATCTTTTTGTTTTTTAACTTTTAAAAATCTAAAAGATTAGATATGCGTAATTATCTCTAATTTGATTTGTCATTGATGTGTGTGGGTACCAAAAAGATTTAATAGGGTTGATTCCATCATTAATTATATCGAATAATTAAATACCTGACTGAAAATCATGCACTAATGATGCATTTCATAATTAGAAAAATGTTGGTTGTAGGTGTTTCTAAAATGGTATGCATCCATATTGCTCATTAAGAATCATAAAGCCTTTGTCTACACATATATGGAAAAATCGGTTGTTTTTTGTTTGTTTTGATAATTTCTTACTTTTTTTATTTATTTAGGAAAACAATTTCTTACTTATACGTTAAACCAATTCATAAAAGAAAAAATTCCTTAAAAAAATCATAAAAAAATGTCTAAAATAATAATAATATACTTTTTTTAATACAACATGTGTGGTTGAAGAATTGAACTCACAACCTCGTTGCATGCTCACTGTGGTTATCAAAATTTTATCTTTATATATGAGAACTAAAAAAATGGATGTGAGTAATGAGCATAAGTCAATTGTTTAAGGCATATAATAATTCGGCTAACATGTTACGTTGTCGTATGTACATTTTAATTATAAATATATATATTATTCTAATAAAGAGAAATATATAATTACTAACATGAGTTTAACTAAGGTCATGAGTTTGAATTCTCCACCCCCACTTGTTGAATTGAAAAAAAAAGATATCTATATAATTATTGGCTATATATCTCTATTTTATGTGAATCCGAACATAGCATGACTAAGGTACCATATTTGACCAAAAAGTCTTGAGTTCGAGTCGTATTCAATATATATGCAAGGTCCGTTTGATTTAGACTTCTAATTCACTACAAATACAAACTCATAGTTTAAAACCCTCATGAACATAATGTAATGAAATATTGGTATAAGTTAGGAAAGAAGCAAAAATTGAATGACTCGGTTCACTTTGCATGTATTTTTATAGTTAATATTGGTTGGTAACCTAATAGATAAGTGATCCGTCTCAGTGCCTGTTGTTTTAGACTTTTAGTTAGGGATAGAAAACATGATTTATTATTATTTTGGATTAGTAATTATTATCACGTAATTCGAACTCACGACTTTTTGGTCAAAGATAATATCGTAATTAATTGAATTAACTTGTGAATTAGCTCAAGTTAAGCTGGCAAACATTATTATTTTTCTTTATTTTATGTTAATATATTAATAATTTATATGTTTTCCCGCTTTAATTAACCAATTGAGTTATACTTCTAGCTTTTAATTATTGTTCTTTTTTAAACTTGAAATCTTTTAGTCAGAGATAGATGTGTCTTAATCAATTAAGCTAAGTTTCGGTTGGTAATTTTTTATTATATCCTAGTTGTTTCCTAGCTGTTTTTTTAAAACAATTTTACTCCCTCTCTATATATATTTTTATAACAAACAGATAATCTCTATTGTAAAAAATATTGTTATAATGTAATGGAGACAACATATGAACGAACACATAATACGAAACACTTTTAAATTTAAGATCAAGGGATGATTCGTGGGCTTATTGACTGGTCTGTAGTTCATATATATTATTTAATGTTTACCATTTTACTGCTTTTAAATTTTGAATCTAATATCTAATAACAATTTAAGATGAAGACATATATCTCAGGATTAAAATCTCCAATTACTAAAAGAAAATGCTTCATCATTCTTGAAATTATATTTTATATAATTTTCTATTTTTCTTACAATACTATTTATTTGTTATATCAAACTAAATTATTTGATAAACATGCTTGTTTGGGGAAGAGAATACCCTGGACACGTGGAGGACCCCTATTGGTGCTCCAAGATGACTCATGAGTCATGCCCAGCTCGGACGGCCGAGATCACCACCACTAGCGTTGACAGATGCTAAGTATGAGGGCCGAGGTGAACCTGGCCGAGGTCCGACCTACCGGGAAGCTCGGTGGGGGCCGATGTGAGCTACTGTCAGCGGCGTGATTATCGGGTGTAACCGTCGGTCCCGAGATTACCGGGTGTAACCGTCGCGAGATTAGCGGGACTACCACCCATAAGTAGAGGACCTCACTCCACGATCAGGTACGATGATTTCTGACCTCGAACAAAAAACTAGGAATCCGACCTATACTGACTTGATCGTCGGAGTGCTCACCTTTTTGTGCAGGTCYGCCCAAGTATTCAGATCGGTCCGGAGGCCGAGTTCGAGCTGCAATCTGAAATACACTGTTGTGCATATCCTTGCATAAACAAGATGTAAACATTACTTTTACTAAATATTTTACATTATATGTAAAATTTGTGTTAAAATATTGCGAAGAGGAACTAAAATGATCAATTTTTAAAAGTACATGAACTAACATGAACATTTTCAAAATACCGAGACTAAAACTATTGGGACCAACATAATATTTTAAACTTTTATATATATATATACACTCTGCATTTATCTTCCTACTTGTGGTTGTAAGTGAATAATGGAGACGGACTGAAACGTATAAATATTGTTTCTTATATAATTTCATTATTCTCCATTCATTTTTTTCGCTCAAATTATAAAAAATACTCTTGAAATTTTCCTTTTAAAGTCTGTTTAAAAAATACCTCTATCTTATCAAAAGTTACAAAATACTACTCTCATTAATGTGGAAGCTTGCATTTTAATAAGAGAGAAAATCTAGAAGAAACTATGGTTTTTAAAAGTGTTATAGAAGTCGAGGATTGAAATCGTGAAGAGAATGACAGGTTCGTCCACATTTTTTCTCTTTTAAAACTTAATTCACACAAACTTCCACGTAAACTACAAATCATTCAAGATTTGTACTCCATTCATTTTTCCTTCAAAATATTTAATGAATTTTTGCTCAAATCATATTTTTCATAAAATTTTTATGAAAGGTCATTAAACTTTTGAAAATGACAGAGAGATAAAGTTAAAAGGAGTACTTTTTAATTATTTCGCTATCACATATATGCCTAAGAAATTTTGTGGGCATATAAAGCGAAGTTGGGAGGAGAAAAGAATAATAGGTACGGAGAGAAAAATGTGGAGACTTAAGTTGGGAGAAGGAGCAAACAACCCATACTTATGGAGTAGCAACAACTTTGTGGGAAGACAAACGTGGGATTTCGAGGCTGATGAAGGAACTCCAGAGGAGCGAGCTCAAATAGAAGCAGCTCGCAAAACTTACTTCCAAAATCGCTTCAAAGTTCAATGCAGCAATGACTTGTTTTGGAAGTTTCAGGTTATTTTTTTTTTAAATTAGATATTAAATCTCTTCCAGTGGTTGATAGGGGTATTTACGGATGGAGCGGAGACGGGGAAGTATTTTCCATCTCCGTCGTCACTACCGTTTCAATCTATACATCATTTGGTATGAAATTATATATTTAAATAAGTTCCCACTATCTTGACAATAAATTCGAAAAGTTAAATTTTACAAAATCTCAAATTATTTGAAAATATGTAAACTTTAAAGAATATAGAGAGGTAGGATTAGGATTAGAGTGGATAGACTGAGATGAAGTTTATATATATACATATGCCTGTGTAAGAAAATAAGGTGAGCGGGAACATAGCATGTTTTCTGTTTCCATTCTCATTTTGGTGACGGGGACAAAATGTCTCGGGTCCCTATTTTGAGAATAGTCCAAGTGAAAATTTCCGACTTCTTTCATTTTTTGTTTTGAACTTTCGAACATTATTTTAGAACTTTGAACTTTATCATAAAAAAATTATTTTAATCACCAATCGTTATTCTTTTTAATAATTTAATTGAAGATAACATGACATAAACATATATTTTGTTTAGTTTACTAGGATCCCTACATGTTTACTTAAACAAGTATTTGAAACAACACGTTAAGTTAAGTGTTAGATTTTTAAACATAGAATATTTATTTAAAAGGATTGATGAAACAATTATAGCAAGGATTTAAAACTTTGTTTTTTATTATTTTTAATTTTTTACGCAAATATAAAATCATGAGGCTAAAATAAAATATTAAAAAAGTTAAATTAATTTGTTTTTTTAGTACAATTAAATTAAAATTTTAAGATAAGAATAGGAGTTAAATTTATGTTGATTAACTGCAGTTTTTACGTGAGAAAAATTTCAAACAAACAATTCCAAAAGTGGTGGTGGAGGAAGGAGGAAGTGTAACAAAAGAAACAGCGACCATTGCGCTGAGAAGAGCCACAACGTTCTTTGCAGCCTTACAAAGCAACCATGGCCATTGGCCTGCTGAAAACTCTGGCCCTTTGTTCTATGCCCCACCCATGGTACAATTAATTAATTCTTTCTATTTATTTTGGAAAAATACTTAAATTTTTATCGGTGAGTAAACCACCATTGAATGTTTGACAACAAAGAGAGAATTGTATCAATATTCATTGGATATATCTTGTTTGGGGAAGAGAATACCCTGGACACATGGAGGACCCTATTGGTGCTCCAAGATGACTCATGAGTCATGCCCCACAATGATGCACTTGTGATCGCTCCCTTGATTGATCATGTGGTGGTTAGGAGGGTGCTGGTAGACGGAGGCGCATCTGCTAACATCCTGTCCTTACCGACCTACCTCGCC